CACTGGATCACGTGCCAGCGTTGTCGACACTACTCTAGCGACCGCCGTCGCAGCACGCACGCGTCGGACGGTCGGACGGACGGACGGACGGTCATCGAGCTCTGAAAGAAGCCATAATAACTGGTAAGAGAAGATAAGCGACCTAAGAGAAGCCATCTACCGATCAAAAAGCTGATGTCTTCGGTATTTACGATGTATCATTGACTGTTCAGTATGCTTCATTCGATAAGACGAGAGGGAAGAGTAGGGTGACAAAAGTTAGTGGAAATTGCAGTGAAAGGGACCCGTTAGAAGGATTAAGATAAGCGGATGAGAATTCTGTTCAATTCTTGCTGTAAGATTATGACCGCTACCCAGCAAAGTTTGAGACTCAATGAAGGGACTTCTTGCTCTATATCATTTGTGTCAAAACTTAACCGACCGCCAGTAATCGGGAGTTCTCAACTAATGATATCTCTGTATAGGAAACCGTCCATTGATAGCGACATCTGATAACGGTTTCATCATCACTGGAAACACTTGTGAGTACCGCCCGAGGCTTCGGTTGCCTAACAGTTGAATCTTTAATGGGTGTTTAATTTTAAGAAAAAGAGAAAAAATCGAGACTTCTAACTAAAGGCGCACTCACACTGAATAACATTTACACTGCTCTGTTAGCCCTGTGTCGAACTTCGTGACAGGAAACTAATAGGTTTATGCTTAATTATTGCGGACTTCTTTGCGGCTTCTTTCCTCTCGATACAATTTGAATATTGAATGCGGGATTTGATAAAAAATAGTCTTCTAGTTTTATTAACAGGAATATGTCTAGAAACTCATCCTCATATACTCCACATTATGCTCTATTAATCCTACAAAGGTGGAAGGCACAGTCATAAGGTGATCTCAACGAATTCCTCGATAATGGAGCAGAGCCCAAGTCGACTAAAGAATGGAATCTGCTTCTGCGTTCGCCCTATCCACCAACAGAAACTCGTATGGATTATCACATCAACCGTCCACTGGGAAATTGGCCAACGAACAGTACTTTCGGCGACATAGGTGGCGTGATTGCCGTCGTCAAGACGTGGATCGCCTCCAAGAGTCGAAATTTAAGCGCCTGTAGGATCCGGCTGCCTACCAAATGGGGAGCAGTGCTCGACGGAGATGGTGGATATGTTCTAGAGTAATTATTTGAGCATGTCTTTATTGAATATTTCTATCGTTTCCTTTAGTAGAACTTGCTGGAAAAAATCCTCAATAATTATGCATGAACCTAATATCATTTGTTCCAATGAAGGAGTGGAGAGCTCGCCAATTACTACAACTTCGTTGAACCGGCGGAGGGCGCTTCGAGGAAGAAAAGCCGGCGTTAGCCGTGTGAACCAACTGGTATAATCACAATTCACAAGTCTGGTGTGTATTTATGTACGCATGTATGTATGTATTATGTATGTATGTATGTATGTATGTATGTATGTATGTATGTATTTTATGTATTGTATGTTCAGTACCGGTCAGTGAAGTATGCGTTTTCAATTTTTTAAACGTAACTTCTGCAAATCTCAACCTTTCGGCGGGAAACTTAGATAGCACGTAACTTGAACAGTTATTAACATTATAGTTGCGCAGGAGTCTAGCAGCACACTTCCAAGTGAAACTGGCTCTTAATTTTCAAACAGCCCCCCAACGCCCACTTTTGCCTTCGATAACTCGCGGGTTTTTACGATAGGAATTTCGAGGTAATTCTTGCTCCTTTCTGTCACTTCATGCACCTTGTGCATCAATAAGAACTTTCTAAGGCACTCAGAGATCTGTAAGTGACGGCAAGACCAAACTGACACCGTTATTGTGACACCTGTATATGTGTGTATGTATGGTGTGGTATGGTAGGGGCGTGCGAATCACGTGTGACTCCATCAGAGCTTTTCGCGCACGCATCTCTCGACGCGCCACGCGGCAGATCACGTACGTGTTTCATTGCGACCGTTTCAGTACCCTTCAATCGCGATGAACCAAATGAGCTGTGCACTATTCCGTGGCTTCATCTACTATGGCAGTGGAGCCATTTAAAGACAAAAGACACGGTTCACGATAGAAAGTCCTTCCCTTAGGAATACTCAGTGACCCCAAAGGGTAATGGAAAGGACCCCCCGCGCACAAGAACTCGACGGTTAGGGCAAAGTGGAAGCCTTGTTACTGGCTCACGCTGCCTTCCCGCCCTCGAACGATGTCACTTTAGATGAGTGTCGAGGCGATACAGATTGCAACTCTTCGTTCTAGGACCCACACACAATCAGCTGATCGCCGAATGGTGAGGCGATGTTTTTCTCTAATTCTTTTTTCCTCTGTTATCGTTTCTGCTGCTGCGATCCCTTATTTAATTTCCTACTCCTAGGCCGAAAAAGGTGAGCTTTTTTGCTGTAACTAAGTTTTTTTCTGTTTACTTATGCTTATAAGTGAATGAATTTTTTGCTTACTGTAGTCAATAATTTGCACCAGGACCCACATTGCATAGCTCGTTCAAACGTCCCACTCTTCTTCATTCTTCTGGTTCATTCTCGTCCAACTCCCTTTTTACGTTTTTTCGAAGCCTTTTTCACTTTGGAAACACCGATTCACGCAGTTCCTTCGCCTTCATCGCACTATTTTCCATCTTATCTTCTATTTTTCGTCATAATCTGGATTACCCAAAATTATCGTGAGCCGTGCCTTTAAGGGTTCGCTTCATAAGTCAACAATTTACTTGTCAAACATCCAAAATGAGAGTAATCCTAAAATGTTTCGATCCTAATGAACGCAGTCCTTTTGAAAACGTGCATAGTTGATCATTTTTTACTTGCCTTTTAAGATTTCCTATTAAGCCACTATGATGGTAAGCATGGTGTTATAGCGCGTCTCGTCCACTGCACCGTTCCGCCGTATGCTCTGCCCTTCAACGCGAGATGACCTCCTTATATGGACACGTGAATTGCACTACACCCGCAATGGTATGGTATGGTATGGTATGTGTGAATGTATAAATGTATGAATGAATGAACATATTAGGTTGTTCGGAAAGAAATGCGCGTTTGAGCTTAAAAAATTCTCGGCATTGAAAGGGGTCGCTCCCAATGCCGAGAAATTAGTCATTCGTGCTGCGGTTTCGATGCACGCTAACGCGACTGCTGTCGACGACCACTTATCTACGATGAAGTCATTCAGCAGAATGCTGGAATATCAGAATAAGGTAGTTCTCTCTAGATTCGAACGCTGAACCGCTGAGAACATCACGCTTGTTGATATATTTCAGTTGAGCAGAATCATTACTGGTTAATAGCTCCGTCCACCTCAATGCAAACATTCCCACTATGAACTTGGCCACCCTTCTTTTACTGCTCCTAACCATTTTCTCCGAATTCGAGCAAGTTTTTGTAAAGATGAAGTTTGATCCTAGCCCCGCTTTCCTGTGCCAGCTCTGCCTACTTCGAGGATTTGCCTACATTTCCTTTTTCCTCTAACCACTTTTTTCCGCGTTCTAGAACGTTTCTGAACAAAGTTGCATTCATTTTTGGAAACGGCTTTCATGTCAACGCACGCCGCCCCGCCCATCGTGGGCAGGGCTTCGAGAAGCTTACGCATGCCTAGCACGCGCAAGGCCTTGCTCACTCCTTATTTTTTCTTGGCCTCGACGCCTTCGTTTAATCGAGTTGTGAATCTCTGTGAAAAATACCGCCCACTGCGAGGACGCTCCACCCATCGCCGGTAAAATCCTTCATGGGGAGCTCCGCTAAGCTCACATGAGCTCTGCTGCACTTACCCTATGCTCAACCCATTCCAAACTTGATCCAACTTCTTCAAGTGTTTCTTCAGGTTATATCGAATTTCCGTACAAACAAACAGACACACAGACAGACAGACAGACGACGCGAGCGCTTTATATTATATATAATATATATATATATATATATATATAGCAAGAATTATGTGAGTGACCGGGTCCTCATATCTCCACGCCCCTTTTGGAGCTAGAGCGCCCCTTTTGTCCTAGAGCATTCACACACTAAAAGAGTAATGTAGGTTCGATGAGAAGTAGAAGGGGAACGATGTAAGTCGAAATCGATCATCCAGTACCAATGAATATCGAATTGCTCTGCAACTGACCAAGTGTTCGCAACCTTGCTCAATGTAGCAGTAGAAATTCAGATATGAGGTTAGGAGCTATGCTGTAAGGATATCAATTGATACTGCAAATCCTACCGGTCACTTGATAAAGATAAAAATAAATATCGATTCAAGGCGTAATTAAACGGATATCCACAACTTGGCTTCCATTAAGGTTTAGTGTTTAAATTCTGAAAGCGTTGAGGAGATATGAAAATATGCCACTGGAAGCGTGCCTTATCACTTAGCCGATATTGATCAATATCTATTTCTATCGGAAGATGTCGCTATTCTCTATGTTTTGAGCGGAAACCGATAGCAGGAAACACAACCGCAAGGCATTCGGGATAGGGCGCGGGAGGAGCGTACGCTGTAGCCGAGTGATCCGACTGTTATTAAAGAATGGAGTAAAACATACACATAAAACACATTAGATGCTCGCTCTTAGTACATCCACCGTCGATGTATAGGATATCAATGCGCCGGTGTTGTCGCAGCTCCCCTGAAGTGCGTCGAATGCTGTCGCCTGACGTTTCTGTGTCAATGCCGGTTCACTAGTTACCGAAGGGAAATTAGGCTGTACACAGATGAGAAGGACAACTCTGATTTTGCAGGAAAGGAAAGACGAAAACCCTGAATAATTCAGCGGCTGCCCCAACTCTAACGTAGCTTAACGTTTGCCCTCGCCTTATGAATGGACTTAATACATGATACATAGCCTATCAGCACTCCGACGCACCATGTGATTGGCCGGTGAAGCCAAAATCGACATTGAAATATGGAGTTATTCTGTTATAACCCATATTATTAGACTCATTGTAAGAATCACGTCAAAATAATATTAGTGAGGAATAATCGAATTTAGTACCTGTGCTGAAACAAAGGAGTCGAAGCATTTTCTATCCATTTCATTCATTTCGCACTCGATGTCATCGAAAAGAAGTGCAAATGACTCGCATCCGAGCATACGAACCTTAAAGGTAAACTAAAAGACTGTATATGTAGAAAATAAAAAGTTTGTTTACATTACTGAATGTAAGAAACCCACTCTAATCTGAAGGAAAAACGAAAATTGAAATTCAAAAGAACATGAAGAGAAGAATAAAGACTATAAGTGAATACTCAAAAAAACTTAAATGACAATGAAAGAATTAAATGACAAATCAAAGAAAATAATAAGTGCCTGATCGAGTTTACTCTTGATGCAAAGTATTTCTTCTGTCTTCGAATAGGCGATGTCAATTCCTGGTGACAAGGAATATACGAATCTGATGTTATTTTCTCGTGCTGATTCAATGAGGCTCCGCAGTATGTCTACAAAATAAGTACGAAGTTATCAGGTATAAACTATACCAAAAAGTGTACTATGAAATAACACTAATCACACCTACACAGATCTCTTACGAAAAACGAAAACTGGCGGCTCATTATTCGTCAATGCTTCTGTGCCATACAGGTTTTTTAATGGTGGAATGTTTATTCGCCTGACGTTTCGACAAGATCGTCGTTTTCAAAGGCCTGAAAGCGTATCGAAACTTCAGGGTGTTACCTATCACGTTTGACGTAGACCAGTTCTTAACTAGTTGCAACTCAGACCGCTGAACTTACAACTAAGTAGAAATTCCGATAAGTCACTTACGTCAATTCCACCAGCACCGAACGGTTGCTCAACTTTAGAGAACTATAGAGCAATTGAGACAGCCCGGTCAACCACGACTCTTTAATAGTG